GCATTGGTGCACGCAGCTGAAACGAAACTTTTCATTGCAAAATCAAACCACCATGCACTGTCAGGAAGGACAGGAGAGAGATATCGTCCTCATAATTCACTGAGCCAACATAGATCCAAAAAGAAAGAGCCAAACTGAACGGAAAAAATTAGGGATGTCATTTCGCATCTCGTCACGATACGCCTTGTGACGCCACCCACTCTCATTGCATCACCTTGCATAATATTATGCGTTATTGACCAAGCGTGAGATCAAGATGGCTGAAGTTTATGGAGGTCCATAAAAACCAAAAAAAGAACGAGGCTAATAATATCCAGCCATCTTGACCGAACGGGCTTGGTCAAAAAAGGATTTATTACAAAGCAAAAGAATTTTGGATATTATAAGAATCAAGAATGACTTGTTTATTACGAGAGCCAAGAGAAATTGAACGGTGTTTGTAGCGCAATAAAGCCATTTTTTCGTGGCTTTATTGCGGCTCCATCGTCGTTATTTGCTAAAAAATTACGAACTACGTAAGTCCGCTACACGCAATCCGTTTTCCTTACGCGGGATCAAGGCGGGCGATCTTGCCCCCACGGGGTAGCTAATCAAAATACGGGATTCGCTTCATATTGCCCACGTGAGCCGCCGGCTGCACAATAAAGTTTCATATTATGTTGTGCATAAGATTCTTAGTCCAGAAGTATACCTGCTTCTGTTGTGTTACACAGACGGTGATACCCATTGAATTTGGTTGTATTTTTGGGGGAGAAATAGTGCAAATCATCAATAATTTTTCGCGGGGCACCCTGAAAGTCGCTGCATGTGAGTGAACTCCTTTAGTATGCAAACAGGTATTAAAAAAATAGGTTTTCTAGCATGCCCCGTGCTCAAGAGAACACTGAAATTTCCACAGTTACTACTAAACATTAATTTAATACATGTAGGCCTTCCTTTAAAATCGTTTTTAAAAAGAGTTTTTTGCAATATTTCAAACTTTACGCAAGAGAACACTGAAATTTCCACAGTTACTACTAAACATTAATTCAAGACATGCAGGCCCTCCTTTAAAATCCTTCTTAAAAAGAGTTTTTGCAATATTGACAACTTTGTGCTAGAGGGTAAGTAAAGACCTTTCACAGACCATCGCTCATAGATTGCATTTAACGACCTCACTTTAAATTCAATAATTGTAAAAGCCATGGTCTTCCAAGTAGTATAATCAATCGATTGCTACAATTTTAAACAAAACATAACCATCGCCGCCAGGACATCCTCCAGACAACGCTGTCCAGTTAGCATTAGGAGGGAAAAAAGACCCACCACCTCCGGCATGAAGGTCCAAGTTTTTACTCTTGCCATCGACTTGCACACCGCCACCAGAGTATCCACCCCCTCCTCCACAATTTCCCCCGCCACCGAATCCTCCTGCACACTTGTTTACCTTGGTGTATCCGCCTTTTCCTCCCGCTTGAAAAGACTTGCCTCCGTCTCCCTTGTCACATGGTTTGTTACAACTGGATGCCCTATAGCAGCGTCCATCCGTGAGAAGACCTCCGCCACCTCCAACACCAAGTAATTCTGCATCATTCCCCGACATGCAGACCTTCCCTCCCTTCCCTTTTCCTCCAGGATTGACACTACCACTTAACCCGGCCTGACCAGGATCACCATCTACAATGTCAGCCACACCACCCCCGCCGGCCACAACTAATGGGCTGCTACTGCCTGTAAACACAACACAAGTTCCCCCACCACCCCCACCCCTTTTGCCTCGCTGTCCCACTAAAACTGTCAGCTGCGTTCCTTGTTGAAGATAGACCGTCCCATTCACTTTGGCTCCTTTACCAGCAATGGTACCTAATCCCCCTTGATTCCCACCCGTGGCTCCGCACACTTCGAGGCGATACGTGGCCGATAAAGGAATGTTCCATGATTGCAAACCCTCTTTCACTAAGATCCCTTCCAGTGATGTACCCTGGTAGAGTGCGTTACTTACTGGCCCAGACTTACCCGTTGCACCCAGTGTAGTGAAGTGATATTCGATATCTAATAACGCAACAAGGACAACCATTGCTCAGAGAGGAACGAAAATTTCTATCCATACACATTACATGCACAAAGAACGAAACGTTATTTCACCTTTTAGATACATCAATTTTTGACAAAGCATAAAGCAGATGGCGCAATTTGGTACATGCTCACCATGCATATTCTCATATTATTATATAAAATAAACGTTCGGGTTGCAATGCATTGGGATTTATAACAATGTTGCTTACCGATCTTCTTTTCGCACGCGTCCCCAAACCACGGAAGTATGCATTTACACTGATATTTCTGTTTGTCCTTGTTGTAATGGCATTGGCCCTCATTGAGACAGACCATCTGGTCGCATTCGTCCTGACACAATGGTAAAATTGTAAGAAAAATAACTGAAGTTAGGCCGGCAAAGGTAATGGACTTAACACAAAGTCGCATCTGTAACGACGAACCAACTCGGAGTTCAAGTCTACTAACCATAGCTCAGTAAAACATTTCAAAACGAACCTTTCGGTTGCTTTAAAACTCCTCAGAAAGTTGAGATAATGGTCATAATTTACGTTTGGAAGTAAAAAGTACGAGTTTTTCTTTTTTTTCATGCGAGTTAAGGAAATGGGGCAAACAGAATTTTTTAGAAAGAAATGAGGTATTGAAATAGGGCGACTAGAAGAAAATAACAGAGATGAATACCTTTTAAAAGTTAATCTACCAACACAGACATTACAGCTTTGTTTCTTTGGCAACATGTAAAAAAAAAGAACTTTGCCACCCACCTTCACGTAGATACTTCTTTGAAAAACTGCAGAATAGGCAGAATATGTAAATCCTCAGCGTATACCAATTTATCACCGGGCATAAAGGAACCTCCTTGATCATTTAACTCACACAAAAGATGTTTCTCCGGAGAGGAAACTCCAAAGTTCGTGGACACGCATCTGGCATCTATTAAGCACGAATGAGCGCAAGACAACAAGGTAGAACCATTTAGAGTCCTAATCTGGTGGCCATTTAGCTTGTGATTTAAAACTGTTTTAATAGCACCCTGCATGTAGCGCTGTTCTACGCTGCAAGTTATTCCAAAAACATGGAGCGCAGTAACAGGAAACCAAAGAGAAACAGGATAGTTCATCTCGAACACCACCCAAGATCATAAAACCTCAGGTAAAAACCCACGATATTTATGACTGATCTTTCCTCTAAGGGGACTTTCCAAGAAATTTTTTAAGGAATTGTAATGGCCACTTTCGTATATTTTCCGAAAACATCATCTGCTTTTTGGGCAAACACTGATAATCATGCTTTCCACTGACGTTAAAACTTCTTAACAATGGAAGTGCCAGTTAAAACAAATAAAAAGCAGAGAAAAGCTTTCAAGCTTTAGTCGAACTTAACGCGGCAAAACACTGCATCGTTTGCTTTTAGTGACTGGTGACGTGTCAATAGGTCAAGAATTACATAACTCAGGTGAAATGAATCAGCAGAACTATAATCAAACGTCTCGTTATGTAGCGCCTACATTGATACAATATCATCTTCTCGACTGACAGAAAATTTACTGAACGGGCGAACCAGCGCTAATTTGAGTATACGATGTGTGGCGGTATACACCGAATGCAAATATGGCGTCCAATTTAAATTGCCATCGTTCTGGACTGACTAGCCTCTCACACATGTAATAATCCTTTTGTGTTTCCACGTGAAGACGAGGCTAGTCAGTCCAGAACGATGGCAATTCAAATTGGACGTCATATTTACATTCGGTGTATAGTCACAACGATGGCCACTGTGTATCAGTATTCTACCAGACGTCATGATAGCGCCACGATGAAAATTATAATCACTACGTATTTGGAGTCGTGGGTGTATTTTACAGAGTTACACGCACAACCTAAAGTAATTAAGATTACTGCGAGACTGAGAATATCATTAATTCTTTGATTTAGCTATGACGGGTCAATCTTGTATTGACCAATCAAAGTAAACACAACGAATATATGAAATACATATATCTGAACTGCGGTTATGAAACGTATATGTGCACGATCCTCGCAGTAAAGCACTATTTAAGCAATAGTGAAAATCAGACCTGAAAAAATTCAGGCCTGTGCTGGATTCGAACCACTGACCTCTGCGATACTAGTGCAGCGCTCTAGTTTGATGGCCTGCTCCCAGTTGGCTTGTTAGCTCAATTGGTAGAGCGCTGCACTAGTATCGCAGAGGTCAATGGTTCGAATCCCGTACAGGTCTGAATTTTTTCAGGTCTGATTTTCACTATTGCTTAAATAGTGCTTTACTGCGAAGGATCGTGCACATATACATATAAATCAAAGTAAAGTTGAGAACACACGAGAAAAGCTCGAAAGAAAAAACATAATTATCGCGTTACTTCTTGCAATTTAGTTTTCTCAACCCCGACTGGCTTGTTTTAAGAACAATTACATTATATAATTCTGATGCTCTCAATTTTGTAATTTTTATAATAACAATTCTGTCATAGTAACGGCTTCAAAACAGCGATAAAAATTTTGCCACAATAATATGGAGTCAATTCAATTGTTAGGCTCTTCCGTGAACGTATGAGCGAAGAGTAGGATAAGTGAGTTTCTCAAGAAATCGTTACGTTACTTTATTACTTCCTGAGGAACTTATTGAAGTATAATGTTTTCTACAGTCTACGTTCGCAAACTCTGATCACTAATTATGCATCCCATTTCTTTTCATAAAAGCAAATTTCAGGAAAAGTAATAATAGTAATAACAATAACACTAATAACTATAACAACAATGAATAAAACTGTCACAAAACACTGAGCACCTCAGGATGTTAAAGATAATGCAACTATCGAAAAGTAAATTTAGAACGTACGATTGCGCAAACATTTAAATTACGATTTAGCACCCTCATAAAAAATTCACCATTTTAAGAAACCTTTATTTAGTTTCGTATATGTTTATATAAGTTAAAACCGTCTACCGATTATATGACAGTTACCAAGGAGAAAAATCAACAAGATCAAAATGTTCCGATAAAACGTCGAAATTTCTGTCTTGCATTTACTCTAAAGTAAAATAATACATGAAACAAAGTAAACATTATCAAGTTCAAGTGAGGGATAAAGTGTTAAGCCGAGAAGGATTCGGCAGGATGTGTGTAAGATTCCAGAAATAAATTTGCAAACCAAACTTCAATGATGTTCGTCAAAGCTATTTTGGCCTTAGCGTCATATTCCACTGTCTTTGGATATTTGCTACACTTGCCACAATGTTCCGCCTGGAATCGAGGACAGACCAAGTCATTCTTTGATGGTGCACTCTTTTACCGTCAAAATTTTGCACTGAAAACAGACATGTTAAGAAAAGTGAAAACTTTCGGGGAGATTCAATGCGCGCTTGTTTGTCTGTCCGAAAACGATTGCGTCGCACAAACATATTGTACCGATGCGTCAAAGGGAAAAAATTACAAGGGGACATGCTACTTACATAAAAACGGCGTTAAAAATGAACAGAACCGCGTTCGTCTCGTAAAAAGCAAGGGATGCACCTTTCAGCAATACATGGATTTGGAAGTAAGTCTACAAATAGTTTTCTATTTTAACCATGGTATAGGATGGAAATGACGAAAATTCAGAGGAAATCTTATTTTAAATGTTTCATATCTGTAGACAGAGATGACGATGTTCTAGCAACACAGTATAATTAATAATTTATATGTTGAACCTTACAATACAAAGGATTTGTTTGTTTTTGGATCCGTGATCTTAGTATTGTTTAAGTGTCTGAGAGATACTTTTACTTGAGAAAAGCAATCTGTGTCCATGGCTTGAGTGAAAAATGTCTGTTTACCTGGAAGCCATTCTATTTATTCAAACTGACGAGGTTTCTCTTTCCAACATTCATTTGCATTACCGCAAAACCTTCCTTTTTTAATTTTGCCATGTCATGTTAAATTGAAAGTTCATTGCAAGAGAAAACTGTATTAAAGGAGATAAATTACCGGCAAGGCTGTGGCTAGCATATTGATTTATGTACAAGATTATAATTGAAACTTAGACAAACGTCGTTTTACATTTTTTTTCAACGCTCAAATCGCATGCAAATATTGGCTTAGATCAACACAGGTGCATTGCCGCTAAAAAAAAAACTTTAAGCCCCCTATTCGTTAGCCTATCCAGGGATATGAATACAAACGATCACATACATTATTGTCAACGAAACCGTAATTTACATTACTCGCTTCAAGTTTCAAATTTTTTACTCGCTTCATTTTTTAAAGATTAGGAAACAATAACATGAGAGATAGGTAAGCAGCATTGTTATAAATCCCAATGCATTGCAACGTGAAAGCTTATTTTATATAATAATATGTGAATATCCACGATGAGCGTGTACCAAATTGCGCCACGTACTTTATGCTTTGTTATTTCATTGTCAAAAATCGATGTATGTAAAAGGTGAAATAACGTTTCGTTTTTTATGCATGTTATGTGTGGATAGAAATTTTTGTTCCTCTCTGAGGGCTACAAACGCGCAGTGATTGCATGAAGCATGATTTATGATACTAGGGATTGTGGGGTAAAAAAGTGGTACATCTTGTCGGCGGGATAATGTATTTTACGGTTGCTCCTTTTTTGGCATTGTAGAAACCAGTGTTCGGAATTAAGGTAAAAAAGTTCTGAACAACGAAAGAAATAAACGTCCAAACATACAAACAGGAGTACGAAGTACACAAACGTTCAAAGAGGAAGCCGGACAGATTATTCAGGCTACGATACATACTAAAACAACCATCAAACGAGCTGTAAAGCATACCATACTAGCTTAATACGAAGAGGACTCTATGGGTTCACCGATAACTATTTTACCTCAAAAGCAAGTGATTGAGATCAGGGTTTTATATATTTTGCAGGTCTCTTGCTCAAGAAAATGCCAACATGGAATGAAGTGTTATCACGACTATGGTCGCAGGCGATGCGAAAGCAGATGTGAGCCGCCTTACACTGGAATTTATTGCAACCAACCTCAAGGTAGTATCTTAAGTGTATCACATATTTTTCTTTGTAAGAGTTGCAACTTTTTTTCTTAACTCAGAAGAGTATAATTTAAAACACCAGCAGCCTCGAGCAATACCGGATCCACCTCATCCTCATGAAATAGGGGTTACAAGCTGTACTTAAGGAATGAAGAATAATATGTATTCAGGAGTCAACGTTTTTGCAATTGAGTGTCACTGGAACTTGAGCTCTAGCTTCGATGGGCTCGAGCTAAAGGGAACCCAATTTACCGTGCACTAAAACAGGAAATGAGATTTACTTTGGTTTTGTTATAGTTATATCCGTTCGTTTCACCACTCTTGGTGCACAGGGCAACTCTGGACCCACATCAACTGCTGAATATGTGAACACGACACTACAGGGAGCAGTAACACTGGTTAAGGGGGTCCAGATCTGGAGAGTGCCATTCACTGGTCCTTATAAGCTCACCGTCGCCGGGGCTTCGGGAGGAAACGCCACCTGCTCATCAGGGGGAAAGGGTGCAATTGCGGTAGGAGTGGTGCAACTGACGAAGGGAACTGTGCTGCACCTTTTAATCGGTCAGAAAGGACTTCCAGGAGCTTCTGGTGCGGGAGGGGGTGGGGGCACTTTTGTAGTTTCTAATAAAAACACGCTTTTGGGGGCAGCCGGCGGTGGCGGAGGTGGAGGTGGTCAAATTCTCTCAGAAAACGGAGATGACGGTCAAGCGGCCAAAAATGGCAGTGTTTATGGTGGTGTGAATGGTCTGGGTGGATCAGTGTGCGCTGGAGAGGACAATAATGCAGGGGGAGGAGCCGGATTTAAGGGGAATGGTACGTGCAGTCGCAATGTATCATGTTCCTTAAGTCCTCACCCATGCAATGAATCCGGGTTGGCCTATGTAAATGGTGGCCTGGGTGGAGATGGAAATGGTGTTGGGGGATTCGGCGGAGGTGGGGCGGCATATAACGATTTTGGAGGAGGCGGTGGTGGGTATTCTGGAGGCGGAGTGAGTGCCACGTCGTATGGTTCACGAGCAGGAGGGGGCGGATCTTACTGGTCTGTAGGGCTTAAAGCTAGCAATGAAACCAATTCTGGCGACGGATACGTACTGATAGAATCAAGAATGGTTTAAATTAAAATAAAGCGATTGATAGGTTGATCTTTTTTCTTTGTAACCACTTTCATAAATGGCTGCCGGATTGATATTCTTTTGTTTAAATTCAAATTATCCTCAGTAGTCTCGCTTGAGATAATGCATTCTTTTGAATTTTGAACTGGAGAACGAGGCCAGAAAGGCTAATTTAAATTTAAACAAAAGAATATCAATCCGGCAGCCATTTATGAAAGTGGTCAATTACTATAAGTTACGAACGCTTTGATGGAAAAATTCTTCGTTTCACAGCGCGCTATTTCAAGATTGTTGGATTTGAAAGAAAGCTCTACCAGTTGCACAGTATATGGAAAAGATGAATTTTATGGAGCAAGCAGTTGGCCCATCCACAACTTATGGCGCGAATCTCTTGTTCAGTAAACATATGGAACTGTTACGTAGCGGTGCTCACTGTGGGCCAAGGTGACGTCCATACACTTACAACAGAGTTTAACTTCGTCGTCTTTTCAAATTGGTGTTTCAAAATTTTTTTTTGTTTGGATGAATGGGGATTACAGAGCATTATTAACTGAAGAGGACATAAATGAAACTACATGTATATGGCCAGATATAAATGAGCTCTGTCGTCGCAAGGCAAGTATCGAGGGTGTAAACATAGTCACACCGTTCACTGGTCTGCATAAGCTCAAAAGTGAAGTTAAATAAAGAAGAAAAGTTTCAAGAAAAATGAGGAAAATGAGGACCAGCCGGCATATTTCACACACCTTGACACATTAAAACACTCGGTTGATTCATTCACATGTTGGACAATACAAAGACCCACTACAAACTCGGTGTCGAAATGTAGCGCTAACACTCATCGATTTGAAATTAACAACATATTTTTGCGAAGTCTCGATCCTAATAGCAACAGATCTTAGAGTAACTTAATTTTATCTAGATGTACAAAAATAAAACGTACCAAAAATGTCAATTCGATGCGGAGAAAACCCGAAACTTAACAAAAGCGATCTCGATGGGAACAGATCTTAAACTAATTTCATTTTGTGTACATTGACAAGAACAAATCGATCAAAGATGACAATTCGTTTCGCAGAACACTCAAGAAAGACGAAATACTTCCGTCAAGATGTCGAATTACGTCTTGCATTCAGAATAAATTAAATCTATCTCACAGATTAAAGTAAATATAAATGTACATCGAATAAAGGATTACTTAAAATTAAAAATCTACTACTGAGGTATTGGGTAAATATACGAACACAGCTTAGATCGGGAAGATGGCTACGAGAGCTGCTTTGGTTCACTTGTTTACATCTACATTTGCTTTAGTTGTGCTAGGAGAATCGTTACAATCAATGCACTGGAAACGTCAGAACGATAGCTTACACTTTGATGGAGCAGTATTACTCCGGCGTAATTTTGCATTGAAAAGGGACATCTTAAGAACAGTGGAAACTTTGGGGGAAGTTTACTGTGCCTTTGCCTGTTTGTCTGAAAGTGACTGCATCGCACAAACGTACTGCACCGAGCCGTGGCAGAAATTCAAGGGAACATGCTATCTGCATAAAAGAGGAATCAAAGACGAGCTGGCTGAAGACGTTTTAGTAATAAGCGGTGGATGTACTTACCAACAATACATAGATTTTCAAGTAAGTACATTTTTCATTAAAGCTGTAAAATAAAGACAGTTTCTATGCAGTATAAGAAAAAAAAAAAAAAACAACGGAGCAAATAAGGCGGGATTTTTTTAAATTCTAACTATTCCTTTATATCCCATATGTCTCCAACAAATGATAAATTCTCAATTCTTTGTAAATATTATTTACAATGGAAATAATTGATTTCAGGCAAAAGGATTACCCAATAAAGTATAAATGCCACTTAAACAGGCTAGAGCAAAATACATGCACATTCTGTAAGAACCATTGAATTGGCGTATTGAAATAAACGTTCACCAAACCAAAAACCGGAAAGATTCGATAAACTATTCAAGTCAAATTTTGAAGTCGTAAGATGGGAGGAATTCCCCATTTCAAAAACGAGTGGGGGAGTGGGTCGAGTTCGCCACGCAAGGTTGTCTGGGAACGTTACTCGGGACGCAATTCTTTGTTTACTACAGATTTGTGTCCCGAGTAACGATCCCAGACAAACTTTCGCGGCGAGCTCGACCCACTCCCTCACTCGTTTTTGAAATAGGGAATAGGCTCTTTGCAGGACTTAATCACGTGCTTGGATACCACATAGCAACGCATTGCTGGTGAGCAAGCAAACCAGCGTCCCGCTCATTGTGTTGATCAACTCAAGCGAAACGAACTTTAACTATTTGGTTGAAAACATTCCAAACGTTTGTTGTTTAAGGACGCAAAAAAAAGTTTATCATGATTTTCGTTTGATCGTGC